TCTGATTGTTTTTCAGAATGACTGAAAGGAAAGACTAGACACTCATATTAAACAGGAAAAAGACAACACACTCAATTTAAACAGTACTATCTAGCAGGTCTTCAGTTCTTGAGCTTGCGGTGGGAGGCCTTGTTCATCCACAAGGGTCCTTTGGTGCTCGGCGGGATTCGGCCCGCGGAGATATCTTCATGTAAAGTCCTCAGAACCTTTATCAGTCTGATCAGACATTCTAAATGATGTGTGTGTATTGGGACAAAACTAAAATCAGTTTGACGCGTCTTCTGTTCTTCACGGTCAGGGCTGGTAATCTGCGTCCTTACCCGATCCACCTGACTGACCGACTTAGGCAGAGCGGAGACTTCTTCTCCAATCTTTGCTACTGCCTTTTTCCAACCAGAACAAAGGGGCAAAGAATGAGCTCCCACGATGGTCCTGTCACCTCCTCCAGGTGTAGTGGGGAGCTGATGTTCCAGCAGATCAGCCTCAATCAGGTCCAGCAATTGATTCCGCTCCTCTCCAGGGGCGCACTGGTTGTGGTCATAACAGGTGTCACTCTCCTTCTGGAGACCGATGGCGTGTGATGTTCTCTCCACCACCTGGTGGCGTCCTGTCCCTCTTTTCAGCAGGACCCAGTCCGATGTGAGTCTGTCTCCTGGGTCAGAGATTCTCCCTCCTGGTGAGAAAAGCTGGACACCAAAGCTTGTGAATTGTTAAACACCCTGCATGGCCTTTTGATTATTTTATCTGTGGGATCCATGACCCATTTGTGAGCCTGGAAAAATGACTGTAGTTACTTCCTAGTGAGTAAAACCTGTTTCTTAATTATGGGATACCCTGGTGGTCATTATTGCTACTGCTAGTGTGAACTCTTACACTGTAATGTTATAATAAAACAGAACTTGAAAAACTTAAATAAAATGCTATTCTTACATTCATCTATACACTTGAAACTGAAATGAGGTACATACTGGACTTCTCCAGGGATACATGTGTTCTCTCGTCTCTTCTTTCATCCTTCAAAGCCTTTGCAGTCAACAGGTCTACCTACAATTAGTAAAGTTAAAACATACACAACGACACCCTGCAATAAGCACTCCCCACGCCGGCCTCCCTCCTCCTGGAGCCTGTGGAAGTAACTTCATTAAATCGCTTGCGCCAACAGCCTCAATCAAAATACAATATAACCTTAAAAGTTTAAGCAACTGACATACAACACTGAGAAAAAAAGAATTTAATCTTCCCTCCAGGTACCTGTCTGTGCTAGAGAGGGGAAGAAATAGCAAGGAAGAAAAAGAGAGAAAGAGGAAAAGTAAAAGAGAGAGAGAGAACGAGAAAAATGTGGTTAAAATACTTTGTTCATGACACCTTTTATTAGCCCAATTAAACTATAAGTCCAGTTCAGTCCAGTCAAGTCAGTTGTGTTTAAAATTATCGAACCACCCCATTTCCCCTTAACCTTTGCTCAAATCCACTTCAGGCTAGGGGCGTCCCCCTTTTCTGGAATCTGTACACATTACAACAAAGAAAGAAAAAAAAATACTGTTGTTAAACCGATATCTACAATATACAAGTGCAATGTCGTTTTGTAGGCTTCTGATTTATTCCACTTTTCAAATGTCAATGTGATTATCCTAAATGATCCTTTAAACGCTTCAGACTTACTACTGGCTTTTTAAATATAAAACCCTAAGAAGTTATTTTTGTATATTTTGTAATGATCTAATCATTGTATGAACTGTTCCCTGCTAAGAGCAGCCTTCACCTACCCCCTTTTTGAAACAGTTTTCTGTTTCAAATCTGAAGTATTACCCTCCGTAAACCACTAACACCCAGTTTGAGTATTAGTTTCAGAACTATAAAGAATGGTGTAGTTTTAATCTTTCCACTACTGTTATTCAACCCAGGTTTTGCAAACAAATAGCCAAATACAACCCAAGCTCTCCTATAATTTAGCAAAGAGTTAACCATTAAATAAATTTCATCCCTTGTATCAAACCAGACCCACCAAATGAGCTCATTCAAGGCAAAGACAATCATTTTGTCTTGATGCATGCTCAATAATCCAGGTAGAAAAATCCAAAAAAGTTCAATCTGGTCCTCTGGACATTCAAGAAAACAAAAGCAAAACAAAGCAAAAAAAATTCTAGAAACATTTTGTCTCTCATCCAAGAGACTTCCTCAGTCTGAGGTGCTGTTTTCAGCTCAGTCTCTTAAATAGCACCTTCTCAGGGTGGATCAACCAGTTTTTCTGCTGACAACCAAAAAAATGGCAAGTTGGCTTTCTTGGACTGTGAGGTCGCAGTCTCTGATAGAGGACATTTGCAAACCGAGGTGTACCGCAAACCCACCCACACAGACCAGTATTTGCAGTTTGACTCCCATCACCCTTTGGAACACAAGTTAGGAGTCATCAGGACTCTGTATCACGGAGCAGACAGCATCCCCACTAGCTCAGGAGCCAGGCAGAAGGAGAAA